GAAGACAACTAGGACAACACAGTCCCTGACCTCAGGAAACTCAACTCAACACAACACATTATGAATAATGTCGGGGAAAGCACAGGGGTCATGGGTCTCCTGGAGGAGGGACGCTGTCTTCAGTATCTCTGGTTACTGAAGGTCCCACCTTCGTTCAGCAACATTTGCTGGCATAGATGTTCAACAGTCATTTCTGTGGATGAATTCCCGGAGGAGCTGGGAAATTTGACAAGGTCTGGACAGAAGAACAGAAATAAGTAGAGCCTTTGAATCCAGATGGCATGAATTTGAAGCCTGGCTCAACCACTAACTAGTTAAGAGAACTATTTCCTTTCATGGGCCTCAGTGTTCTCAACTATAAAATGGGGATGATTTGATTTGCCTTACGAGGATATGACAAGGATGAAATTAGGTAACATGTAAGCACTTACATAATGGCCATCCCAGAATAAGTGTTAGCTATGGTTAGACTCAACTGCCTATGGTCATGAAAATAGTACCTTGTTAGGATGTCCAAACATTCTGTTCCCACTGGAGAAACTGCCAGGCGAGAAACAGTTCGGAGACGGCCATCGCTTGGTTATCTAAAAGGAAACCTTAAAACCACGTTCCCGTTCCCACACATGGGAGCTCTTTCCTTTGCTCATCTTCTTCTGTTTAAATTTTGCAGAAGCACCCGGTGTGCTCAGCTCACAGCAGAGGCCATAAATCTTAGTTCTCTCCCTGCTTGGTTATAAATAAGGCAAGTGGCTTCCAAATTCATACAGGCTATATATTCAGATGGATCCCCATGTTGTTCAAATGGCAGGAAAAGGGATTCGGCTGGCAGCCTTCAGAAGGAACAAGGGAATAAAGTCAAAAGATGACCAGACCGTGGCTCCAGGGATCAGCCTGATGTATGAGACAGACCGACAGACAGGCATGGCTTACGTATGTCTGAGTTTGTACCTGGTAGGGAGCGGGGACTGGTCCATAACTGGTGGAGGCTTCTCAGCTGCAAGCCGGAGCAGAGCCGAACAGCAGCAGTTCAGGTGCATCAGCCTTGTCACCTGGCTGTCCTCTCCCTCTGTCCCCTCTCGCCCCTGAGCTGGGCATGGATTCATGCAGGGTCAGCAGGACATACTGAACAGGATGACTCTTGTAATTCTGGTCAAACAAAGCAACCCTACAGAAATGCTTCCCACTCAAATGGGACAGGTTGGAAATCAATTAGGATGACAGGGGGCAGCTTAGCAAGTCACAGCAAGAGATAAAGTCCCCAGAGCCCTGGCCACAAGCTGGACTCCCCTAACCACCAGACTGTCCGGACGAGGGGTGAGTCAAGAGCCCTCAGCAGAGACACAGCCAAATGCCAGGTCAGAGGGGCACCCTGCTCCTACATTCTGGGGGCCAAGGAGGAGTTGAGCAAGGACATTATTCAGCTACATGGAGACAAACAGTACTGAAGCTTGAGTTTATACTGCCCATCTCCCTGGAGTTCCTCCCAACATCCTCAGAAAGTTGTCAGAAACAGCCAGAAACCAGAGGTGACACTGGATTCTTCTGTGAAGTCAGCAGTGGGAATGTGGCCTTAAGCCCTCACCTGAAGGAGTTCAGGCAGGAAGACTGGAGAAGGTGGCCTCCATCCATCACGCTTGCCCGGCCAGGCTGGCATCTCACCCACCATTTCAAGCAACAGCCAGAGCCAAGGGAAAGGGGAAGAAATTTAGTCGAGGGGTCAGAAAAAGAAGAGAATTCACTTCATAGGACTAATTATTCTGAAGTGGGGTGGTACCCACCTGGCACCATACGCAGTTGTTACGATGTTACTGACTATGTTTCCGATGCTGTACTTCACATCCCTGTGGCTATTTTTCAGTACAGGCTTTGAGGTTAGCTGACTGAAGTTTAACATAGAAACTGCTGCCAACATCTAAACTTCAGTCATTAAATAGGAAATGCACCATTTATCTGCAGGATGAGGAGGGAGACATGAATTCGCCCAGCTCAGAGCTATAGATCTGGGCATGCAGTGGGAACTCTATTCTTCTAGGGGAGGTGGGAGATGCTGGGCACCAGTCTTTCCAGAGGCGGGTCAAGACCTCTCTGCAGAGCAGTGTAGCTGCCTGCGGGCAAGGAGGTCTGCAGCCGCACTTGACTCCGGCTTGTCCGGAAGGTGGGGAGTCTCCCCTTCTGCGTGTCTGTGACTATGTGACCTTCAGGGCCCCGGCTGCCTCTACTCCTGCAAAAGGAGGAGGGTGCAGGCAGTTTTCTGGGGCCGAGGTTTCTACTCTGAAGTTACCGTGGGAAGGCAGATTGGATTTCTGAAGTGCCTCTGCTGTCCCCCGTGGCTTTATTCTCTATACATTTGGAGGCACCTAGGCCTAAATCAGGCTACGAAATCCTGTCTCCTTTTATCAAATAAAAAAGTTTTTTATGTCAAGAGAGCGATGCAACATGGAATAATAATGACCAGCTGTCTCACTCATCGCCCCCAAATGCACCTGTGGCCATCACCGCCCCCCTGGATTGCTGCAGCGCCCACCGGGGGGTGGTAGCGCCCACTTTGGGAATCACTGCTCTATACCTTTGGAGGCATCTAGGCCTAAATCAGGCTGTGAAATCCTGTCTCCTTTTATCAAATAAAAAAGTTTTTATGTCAAGAGAGCAATGCAACATGGAATAATAATGACCAGCTGTCTCGAGGGAGAGCACGCTCCTGGAGAAACGAAAAGAGGAATAATTCACTGCTAAGTCCAAGGGTCTCCCTCAGTCAGGAGGTGGAAGGTGTGGACAGCAGACATGGCTACGTCTCCAGCCAGCCGCCTGCAGTCTGGTTGTACCACAGATGAGGTTTCCAATGCAGGCGGAAATGATCCCACGACCCCAGGGGCTTAGAGCTGTGTTACTCACATCTGCTCCCAACTGGAGGCAGCTGTCACATGTGTTCACTGAGCACCTATTTAATTTTCTAAAATCCCAACTGATTCCCACAGGCAAGGGAAGCATTCGGGGTTGCCTGCATGCCCACAATCATGCAACTGGGAAGAGCCAAAGGGGATGTGAGCCCTGGTCAGGTGCCCATGACTATGTCTTTGACCTCCAAAGTCTGTGGTCTCTGGTGATGACTGGGGTTAATCCTTTGTATCTGTAAGTATCACATGTCTAGGAGAAGTTGATTCCTGAGAGATGGAGCATGCTAGGTGAGGGGGATGAACATAAAAGAGCACATTGAATTTAGGGGGGCAGGAGTAGACCCCTGGCAGCAGGGTGGCATTGGGTATGGCTGGGGCCATGGGAAAAGTATAGAGTTCTTTCTCATTCAGTCCTAGTTTGGCTGTTTGCTAGCTGTGTAAACTTGATAAAGCCCAAATCCCTAGAATAGGGAATGCAAACTATAGCCCTGGGGCCAGGTCTGGCCCACCACTTGCTTTTGTACATAAAGTTTTACTGGTACATAGCCATGTCTAGTCACATATATTTTGTCTGTGGCTGCTTGTGTGCTACAATGGTACAGTTAAGTAGCTGTGACCCAAAAAGATGAAAATATTTACTATCTTGCTCTTTGCAGAAAAAAGCATGCTGATCACTGTCCTAGACCAATGTGCATGGCACAGAATGGGGGTAGACAGGATTTGTGTGGGACAGTGTAAAAGGGTGCAAGTCTGAGAATTTGGCTCTGACTCCTTCCTTGCTGACACCTTCAATGTTACGTGGTGCCTTACTTTTCTCATAGCTCCCACCCCAACACACACACACACACACACACACACACACACACACTAGGCATTGCTTTCAGAAGCATTTAGAGTACATCTGGAAGCATTAATAAACACGGGACACTAAAAGCAGTGCTGGTCAGGTGCCAGACTGTTCTAAGCTTTCCATGCATTAACTTATTTAATCCGTGCAATGACCCAATGGAGTGTTGCTTAGTTATCCCCATTTTACAGATGACGAAACTGAGGCACAGAGATGCTAAGTAACTTGTCTGAGGTCACACAGCCTGTAACAGAGCCCTCATTCACCCACTCCCTGTGCAGACACATCCTGTCCTGAGAAACCAGCTCATGTTTGTCCTCCCCGTGGCACTGGGCTCCTCTCAGCTCACAGAAGCTGAGGCTTAGATGGACCAGGCAGCCTCGAATCCGGTCCTCTTGTTTTGCATTTGGAGACAGATTCCCAAGGCAAAGGGGTCAGGTCTGTAGCCACCAAATGAAGGCATTAACACCGACTCAATATAGTTTCCTTCCCTTCTGCCAGAACTCACAGCCATAACATACATTTAACCCTCTAACACCCAGAAAACCACAGGAGAAACATGTGGTCCTTTCCCCAACCACAGGAACAAACTCCGAGGAAACAGGGAACCAAACCCCCCATTTCCCGTGTGATTCCAGCATAACCATAACCACATCAGGCCTCAGTCCGCAGGCTCCACCACAGTGACCGTCGGCACCAAATCACTCACCCTCAACTCGTCTTCTCTATGACCAAACGCAAGATGGCTGGCACAGGGCAAGGCCGAGCCCACCCCAAGCTCCCTCCAGGATAGAAACACGAGCCTCTTATAAGGCGGACTCGTGAGCAAAGCCTAGTGAGGAGTCCCCACAGCAGAGCCGAGGCCAGGAGAGGCTGCTCAGGGCGATGCCACCATGAGCACCTCGGTGACACCGTGGTGCCTGGAGAGGCCTGGCTGAGGTGCCACCTTCCGCAGCGCTGGGGCAGCCGGACGAAAGACAGCAGGTCTTGGATTGGCACCTGCCCCCAAAGAGTGGCCACATCATGAGATCCCTCCTCATCCTCTGGGTAGGCACAGAGGAAAGAGACAACAAGAGACAAACAGGGGCCCTCATTACCCTGCCCGGTGGCACATCTGGCCTCATGACATGTCCTAAACACTTTACAGTAAATATGCCGGCCAATCGCGGCACTGATGTCCCTCACATTCCAAACTACAGATGAGAGACGGAGTAGACACAGAGGCGCAAGTCTCCGCCACCCGTGCGACACGCTCCTACCTGCTTCCATCAGCTGGCACTGCTGGCCGAAGACGTGGGAGAAGGTGACGGGGCCTGCGGCAGGGCTGGCGGTCTCCAGCGTGGACTCCATGGCTCCCCTGGGGTCTTTGGTATTGGTCCTGGGGCAGCGTCCAGACCCTCCCGAGTGTCCAAGTGCAGGGTGACGTCACTGGCTGGGGAACCGTAGCTCTGACACTACTTGTCACTTCCAAGAAAATGTCCCCGCCCCCAAAGTTTATAACGTCTCTTCCTCTTGTCACCCGCTCCTTGCCGGTTTTTCTCAAACACCAACCAAGTGAAAAATGGAACGCTACAGGGTTCTGCAGATCTTGCTCAGCTCCAGGAGTTTGATGCAAAAGGAAAACCTAAGTTTTACCAACAGAAGTTGTTTTCTCTTGTCTGGGAGGCGTGACGGAGGCCTGGTCCCCCATTCAGTCTTCCCAGGGGGTCACCTGGAAGGCGCAGGGTCCTCGAAGCCGCTCAGCCCTGCTGCCCGCTGAGAGCGCTGGGTCCCGCGCCAGCTGCAGGAAAGCGCTGCGGACCGGCTCCTCCACGGCTGCTTCCAGGGAGGAGGGCAGGGGGCAAGGCTGCCTGGCTCCCCAGGGAGCTGGCCTCGCAGGCAGGAGCTCAGGCTGCTAGGCAGCTCCAGCCCTGGTCTTCCTCCTTCTGGAGCCTTAGCACTGCTGTCCAGGGTCCGCGCGCCCCAGGGCGGCCAGATGCAGGCGGCGAGCACAGTGGGGACACTCTGCAGCTCCAGACCGAGGTGTCCGCGGTTCATCCTTCACTCCGGATGCCTTTCTCTCCCCGCGACTCCTTCCTCCCTCCTCGCCGGGCTGTGGGGAGGGGAAGGAGACATGGTTATGAGCCCCTGCTGGGACCGACTGCCTGCGGGGAGGGGGGGGCAGTCCACACAGCCACCCCTTTTCCGTGATCCAAAAGGGCCCTTCCTTGGAGAGGCTCTGGGCGCAGAGGGAAGTGCTAACTCAGCTCAGCAGGCTCCCGGCTGCTGTAACCTCTTCATGCCCACAACCCAGGAGGTGCCAGACAGGAGAGGAGCATGCCAGCCACACATCAAAGATCAAGGAGAGAAGAGATGCCAAGTGCCATGCCTCCCCCGTGGCACTCCAGTGACCAGAGATGGTCTGGGGCTCATCTCCAACACAGACCCACTCTGTGCAGAGAGCAGTCCGTCCCTGCTCCCACTGAAGGGGCAGCTCCTCTGGAAGGAGGGAGAGGTGCAGGGGGAGGGAGGGAACTTTCACATGATCACAACAGCTGTTTCGGTGGGCGCTGCGTCTTTATTTTGCTAACCCATCTGCTGATCACAAAGGTGCTAACTTTAGAGCCATGCAGCATCAGATGCAGCCAGCGTTTCACATACTTTCATTGGGGGTGTAGCTGCCATGTTGGCAGGAGGCGGGCAGCACCATACCCACCTGGAGAGAAAGAATGCCACCCAGCACAGCAGCAGCAATCGAAGTACCCATGTCTGTGTCCCCAGGACGGCTTTGGTTGAATTCTATACATAAGATACCGAAGGTAAAGTTCCAGCTGACGTGCGGGCCAGGAAGACTCTCAAACACAAGCTTTTGCCATTTGAACTCTTTGCCAGCAAGACGTTCAGCTCAGTGACATTTGTTGGGCTACCTGGGGTGGTGAAGGCAAGGCAGAGGAAGTCTTGAAATACTTCCAAGAGTTAAATGAAGTCTATGGTTATCATGCATTTGTCCAAACCCAAAAAATGTGCAATACCAAGTGAACCCTAATGTAGACTATAGACTTCGGGTAATTATGATGTGTCAGATTCCAGGGCTGTAACAAATGGGCCATATGATGAGAGATGTTGATAATCAGGAAATCTATGCATGTGTGTGTGGCAGGGGGCGGGGAAGATACATGGGAAATCTCAGTACCTTCCTCTTAATTTTGCTGTGAACCTAAAACTGATTTAAAAAAAAAATCTTAAGAAAGACCCAAGGTGAACCTTTATACACTAATTCAACCTGCAGATGTCTTTTGTTTGTCCTCCCTTCTCTGTACACCTAGTTCACTGCTTCTCACTGCTACACGTGTTTCATACACCAAATCAGCAACATTCTACTCTGTCCGCTTCCTTAGCATCAGGCACTGAGCTACCTCCTGTAAACACAGTTATGATGCCACCTAATGGCTAGTCACCAATAGATCATCCAGTCAGGACAAGGAACAAACAGAACCTCTGCTAACAATTACACCAGGAGAAGCGGCGTTAACCGGGAGGGAGGGATACATGCAAGAATTTCCGTGGCTACATACCCAGGAGGGGAATTATTCAAACATGTAGGCACACCTAATTTCATTAACCACTGCCAGCTCGTACTCAGATTGGCAGTCCTAGTTCCCACTCTCCCTGGGACTGCACGTGGGTGCCCACTTTCTCACATCTTTGCCAATCACTGTTGTCGGTCAAAATTGGGAAGTTGGGCCACCTACTAGGTACAAAGTTATAGTTCATTGTTTTGGTTTGCCTTTCCTTAATTACTAGTAAGGTGAGCATGCCTTGGAGAAGCTCATTAACCACTGACATCTCCTGTTTAGGAAATTTCCTCTTCAGAACCTTCGTCCAATTTTCCAGTCACTTTTCTCTTTTCTTACTCCTGTTAATTTGCACAGGTTCCCTGACTTTGCTAGATATTTGTTTCCAGTGGTTCTCAACTTTCTGGCCCTTTAGATACAGTTCCTCATGTTGTGACCCAACCATAAAATTATTTTCGTTGCTACTTCATAACTGTAATGTTGCTACTGTTATGAATCGTAATGTAAATATCTGATATGCAGGATGGTCTTAGGCGACCCCTGTGAAAGGGTCGTTTGACCGCCAAAGGGGTCGCGACCCACAGGTTGAGAACCACTGGTTTAGATTGTGCCACTATCTTCTCCTGATCAGTCATTCAACTGATACCTTTGTCCATGGTGTCTTTTCTTGACTCGAAGTACTTTGTTTTTTTGTGTGGTCAGTTTCATTGCTCTTTTGACTTATAGCCTGTTTTGAGGGTCTTGCCTAAAACATCCTTCTCTCCTCCCAGGCTGCAAAGTCAGCTTCCTTTTTAGTTTTATCTCTCATGCTTGGTGCCTTCCTATCTGGAGCCTACTTTTATATCTGGTATGAGGTAGAGTAAAGTATTGTTGTCTCAAGATTATGAACCAGTTTTCCCAAAACCCATCCTCTTTCCCCACTATGGCCCCAGTTATTATCTATCCAGTCCCACGTATGTGGGTCTGTTCCTGAGCTCTCTCCCGTACTGCTGACCCCCACCCCCACCACCACCACCCCCCCACCACCATCATGCCATGCTGTCAGGGCTAACATTTTAGAGTTAGTGACCAACATGTTCAGAAGTCTGGATTTCAAATCTTTCAAGACACAAGTCCCATTTGATGGTGCTGAGCCTGCGTCTCTCGCATAAGCCATCAGCCAGAGCAGCAAAGGACCCCTTTCTAGGGGACACACACCCTCCCTCCCGATACACCAAACCCGGTCTGCATCCTTACAGGACAAGCCTGTTCCTCACAGAGATGTGTTCACGTATCAAAAACATCTCCAAAGGTAAAGGTCAAAAGAAAACCACAGCAGAGAAGACATGAACTGACTGACAGGGCCTTTGTCATATCTGTGCAGAGGAAGATCGTGCACTAAGGATCTCTCTGATGCCTGACACTATGACACAGTAGACTGAACAGGGGTCACGACATGGAAAGTAGCAGGAATGGGGGGAAGGAGGAGACGATGGGAGAAACCACACATAACCTCTATACCCATCATAAACCGAGGATGATAACCAAACAAGTGGGAACACATTCCACACTGTGAATTACAGGATCAGGCAAGTTCTTGTCATTCCAGGACAGATGAGGGCTGGTGCCTTAGGGAAACCTTTACGGGAGGAGCAGTACAGCTGGATCTAAGGAGATACCTGGATTTGCATCAATAGAAGGGAAAGATCAGATGCGGGTAGCAGGGGGCTTGGAACAAGCACTCACCTGGCGACGCCAGTTTAAATGCCGTGTTACACTGAAATGGTTTTAAAGTCCACTTAGGGCTCTTTAGATCGGGATGGATATATATTTGCTCTATGTCCAATCAATGGTCACAGCTTTGTTTTTAAGCTCTCCCCTGATACATGTTCAATCCTATAGACTTTGCATTGACCTGCCCCAGGGAGCTCCCTTAACTTTGCTCCGACTCAGACTCCCAGGGGAGTTAAGGGCTAATTCTCCGATTGCTCAGGCTGAATCCATCAGCTGTCATCCCCTACAGCTCCCAGAAGGTACAGACTACCACAGCCAGGCATTGTAGACACGTAGAGGCAACGTGAAGGGCAACTCAGAAAACCATGACACTGAGCGCAGAGCAAAACACCACTAGGAGAGGCTGCTGAGGCCACGAGCCAGACTAGATCCACAGGCATTCTCATTCAACAGCAGATGCTAACATGCCCCCATCCTAGATGAAGAAACCTGGGCTTAGGGAAATCCAAGTACTTTGCCCAAGATTCCACAGCCAGAAAATCATACCTCCATTGACAGGTAATCTGCACGACTATTGGTTCCACTGGCTCTCTGCTTGGTGACTAGCTACTACCGATTTCTTTGAATAGTTGTGGTGTTGGCTCATTTGCCATGAAGGTTTCCATACTGATTCCAGGTTCCCAGCAAGTCACAATAAATGTCTTTCTTTTTACAAAATCGTTAAGCAGCTTTGCTAGGATATAATTATTCACATGCCATCCAATTCACCCACTTAAAGTATACAATGTAATGTCTTTCAAACCATGAGCACAATCATTGTTAGAACATTCTCATCACCTCTGAAAGAAACCTATACACTTTAGCCATCACCTCCTCCATACTTCCCCTATCCACCTCCCCCCGCCCTCCCCAGCAATCACTAATCCCCTAATGTCTCCATACACCTCCCTATTCTGGACTTTCAGGTGCTTGGAACCATAGAACACTTGTTACACTATCATGTCTCGGTACAGTACCAGGTACTAAGTTATTCTAGTAACCTGAAAGGCAGCAAATAGTAACTAGCTCAAAAGGAGCTTAATTAAAATTTTAATTCTTAATTAAAATTCATTTAGAAAGCTAACCCTTTCTTTTGTTACAGAAATCACTGATCCGTAAATCCAGGCAAGAAAGAGATAATAATGTCCTTTTACATCGTCAAAATAGAACCTGTGGAAGTAAACATAATGTCTGCCTAGAGGAATAGGTCTTAAATTAAATTTCCTCAATGCTAGGTCCTCAATTATTTCTGTAATTTCATTTGTACTTTCCAGCACAGAATCTACTTTCCTTCCTTCCTTTCTGAATAAATTCAATTCAACCCAAAAGATGGGACAAGATGGATGAATAGAAACCCCTGCCCAAGGTGTGGGTGGCGGATCCCAGTGCTGAGTCAGAACCTCAGCAAGAGGAGGGGCAGGTGTCAGGTAAGGAGGGAGGCAGGAGGGTCCGGCCAGGCCGGTGAGGAAGACATCCTGCAGAGCAGCCACAGGAGCCTGGCTCCACACAGAGGGGCAGTAAGCAATAGGAATGAAAGTCAGATGCCTCACTGCTGGAGAAGAGGGAGAAGCCAGAATAAAATGTATGGTGTTAAATGGGAATTGTAAGTATTGGCGTGAACACGTGGTTTTCTATATGTAGATTAAAGACGTAAATCTAGATTCAGGTGTGTGTGTGTGTGTGTGTGTGTGTGTGTGTGTGTGTGTGGAGTAGTAGTAGTAGTAGTAGTAGTAGGTCAGTATACACACAATATTCCCTAATGCTGTCCACTGGGAAGGCCTTGGGAGCCCACAGCAATGAGAGCTCACAGAAACCACAATTAGGCTCTAAATACCACTCTTCCCTAAAAGGAACAGGTAACTCTGGTATGAGGTACAGACTATAATAAGTTTGCTAAATACGCCC